GGAGAATTCGGAGAACTCATGATGATGTCATGCAGTTTGCAGTAAAATTAAGGAACTTCACCATCTTGAGACACCTTTTGTGTGAGTATAATGGGCTTTTGATTTAACTTTTATAGGTCTGCAGTTTCATAACTGACCAGGAATGTTGTGTCTCCAGGGACCAGTAACTAACTGTTATCTCTTCCTAACTACTTGTTTGAGGGACAGCTGGCTACTCTCTGCATTGGGAAAGAGGAGATGCCTTAATACAGACAAAAAGAGGGTAGAAAATATACAATTCTTAGCAGAGTTGATGGTATGGGGAAGAGGTTTGGCCTCGTTATCAAGCCTGTTACAATATTTAGGGTTGATTCTTTGGTGGGGCATTGATTTATCTGGTTATCATGCAGTCAAATGTTCATCCTCTGCCAGAGCAGGGCTTTTTTCCTAAGCAATGGGCCAAATGTCCTTCAGAACCTCTGGTTTCTGCTATAGGGTGTCTCAGGAATGCGAGGCATTTTAATCAGTTGTAGATCAGTGTAGTCGGGACGGCAGGACACGTGGTAGGTTCAAGAAATTTCTATTTTTTGTTTAAGACGTTCCTCTGACCTGCAAGAGGAAGGGCTTTCAAATTCCTGGCCTGTTGAGGGTGGTTTGTTTCCCATGGTATCTTTGCCAAGTGCTTTCTAATTATGGAATGTGTGTTATTCCGTAGTTCTTTTGTAAGGCAGAAATAATGAATATTATAAAAATCCAGAAAAAAATCTATGCATGGATAGATGGACTCAACATCTTATGCTTTTGGAATAATGTAGATGTGATCCACATTGATTTGTGACTAGCATAATCCCAAACCAGCATCTTTTACCTCTAGATTTATATTGTGCAGTGGAATCTGCACAGCAAGGGGAGGGAGACTGGTTTGTTGATACCAGTTTCATGGGGCCAAACACTTTTTTTTTCTTTTTTTTCCTTTTTCTTTTTTTTCAGGAGAGCCACTGCTTGCGGGTGTAGCTTGGCAAGTCACGCACGGCTCTGTGAGCCTGTTGGAGCAGGGTGGACAGGAAAGGTTTCCAGTCCTCTTGCTTTGAATGTGAAATTGTATGCAGGGAATCAGCTGCTTATCAGCAACGAGCAGAGCAATCCCAGTGCTCTAATCCAGGGTTTATATGAGTCACTTCTAACTGGGGAGGCCTGGAAAACTTGATTCATACCTCTGCCTGTAGTTGCCTGTAGTAGTGAAACAGAGCTAGCCAGCCATCCTCAGCAGAAATCACAGACAAGGGCTGGGCTCTGTTGCTGGAAAGGAAGAGCCTGGTTTTATCACTTTAATAGTCTGGGATCAAGATCTTTTAAATCAAAATTACGTTGGTTATCTCTGCTTTCCAATTATTTTTTTGGCCCCTCCCAGTTTAGACTAACCCACATGCAGGAGGGTTTTCCTCACCAACAGAAGCTGGGCAGTAGTTTGACTACAGAAAATAAACAAACAAAAAAAGCCATTTTGAGTAAGAGTCTTCCCAGTGAATGAATAAATAAAAGGGTTCTCCTGCATAAAAACAGCCAAGGGGAATGTGTAAAAAAGTACACTTCTGAATACTGAGCTTTTGTATATTCTCCTCTTACATGTCATTTTCAGTGATGGGATGTGTTCTGGGAAGTGTTAGGAGGTGTAAACTAGGGGAATAGTAAAGTTGTTAATGTAAAGATAACTGTGCTAATAACTTACAAGTGTAACATGAGTTTTATTGACTCTGGCTACAACTACACTGATTTGAGAAATGATGATGGAGAACTGATGTTCTCCTGAAGAATTAGAGCTGCCAGGCGATAGTTTTAATTATCCTTGGAAAACTCCTGGCTCAGGGCTTGCTGTTGAGATGCAGTAATGGCTAATGTGGCTCAGTTTGGGAAATGTCACTGAGGTTACCTTTGATCTTACCTGTGCTCCTGCACTGAGCAGGACTTTGGAGTATTGTCTGTTTCTTTGACTGCTCTGAAATAGAGCAATGCTAAACCCACCTCTGAAATGTATCCTGAGACTGCTTCCCTTAATAATTCACCTAACTCCTCAGTTGGTTGATGATAAGAAGTGAATAAAAATAATCCCAAATAGTTGTGCAAGAATTGAGAGGTACTATGAATAATTTTTCAAAATGGAATCTAACGAGGGCAGAAGAGCTGGTGGCACCTCAGGTCTCTTCAGAAGCGTTACCCAAGCTTCATCACAAATCCTTTTAACTGCTGGCACCTTCTTCCTGTGATGAATGACATCGACCACAGCGCAGGATCTCTGGGATCAGTGCTGGGGCCTTGGGTCAGAGCTAATTAGAGAGGAGTGCTGCACAGAACCACTGACATCATCTGCTACATTTCTTGGGTTTTAAATAGCTTCCTATCTGAGTAGTGGCCATCCACAGTCTTGTTTTACTTCAGAAAGCTTTAAAGTAAAACAAGTAGCTTTTTTATTTAAATCTTTTTACTTTAAAGCTTGACTTCACCCTTTCTGTAGTAGAATTTAAAAAGTATGCATTTTGTTAAGAAAAAACAAAAAACCAACAACCCTCTTTAAGCAGAGCTGACTCCAGATAGTGCCAGTCATGAAATACCAGCAGTCAAGCTTGGGAATGATTTCATGGCTCTGGGTGTTTGGTGGTTAAAGAACCTGCCTTTTGGTGCTGCAGAACTTGGGTGATGACTGCCACGAGGGAGCACTTTAAATGGATTCCAACAACTGAGATGTTTGTAAATGTTGGTTCTGGGCAGGTGTGTAGAGTAGAGTTTACTCACTAGTGCTGTGTGCTGCTCAGGGTCCTGCAGTTGTATCTGATCTGAGACTAACACCCCTTAAAAGGCTCTTTGGTAAGGAAGAGGAAGAGAATTGGTTTATTTCCACTTTCTTCTTTTATCCTACAATCATGAGAAAAGCCTTCCTGACTTAAGAAAAGAAAAATAATATCCTCTAAAGGAGTTTTATGATGACAGAAGAGCATTATTCAGTTTGCCAGCTCTGTTCACCTGCAAGTGTTGGTGAACTGGTGATGACAGCTGACATTCAGTGTGGCAGAGACTTCGGTGTGATACCTGAATTTCAGAAGTATTTGAGCAGATGCAAGAGAGAGTCTGCAGTAGTGTCTTTTCAGAAGATGATGTGCAGCAAGGAAGATTATGCTCCCATTAATTTTTATAAAGTTCTTGTGGAAAATTAGATGTTGTTTGGATCAGAGAGATGTTCGCTCAGTGCAGATGTGGCCACATGCATTTAGAGCAAATGACCTCTGAAGATTCAGCTGAGGGCTTTGTAGAGTTAGACTAAGTTTGAGATGTTCTAACTGCAGGTGCAAGTTTAGTGTTTTACCTTGTGCCTGGTGCCTTGAATGCTGTGGCTAAACCTGCATCTAATTTGTAGCCATTTGCTGTGCTCTTGGCTCATTGTAGAGTCCCACGTTACAGGTCACTGTCGTTAGGAGGGTGGTATAAAGGAGAAATGGGTGGCAATATGCTTTGTGCAGATTGTGACTGTCTGTGGTGGGAGACTTGCAGACAGAAACCCATCCTCTTTGTTAGCTGCTACGAGTCAGATCAAATGGCTGACTAATTTTTTAGTCCCTGATGCTTGGAAGTGGAAGATCCTCTGGCTCAGGGCAGAACTCATCTCCTTCAGGGGTCTGCCTGGCCACCCGTGCAGCTGCCAGGCAGCAGCTTCATGAGCTCTTATGTGAACTACATGTGACTTGAAATACCTGCAGGGTGGTACACTTTGGCTGGGCCCTGTGCCAGGCCAGTGTGCTACTCTAACAGATCTATAGCTTTATTTGCTATACCTGTAATTCATTTGAGGATGGACACATAGCTTAAGCTATTGAGGAACAAAATAATTAATAGAATAATAGAATAATTTTAAGTTGGAAGGAACCTGTGAAGATCTCTAGTCCAACCCCACTTCCAAGCAGGGCCAGTTTAGATCAGATTGCTCAGGCATTGTCTGATTGAGTCTTAAATATCTCCAAGGATGAAGTTTCATAACTTCTTGGGGCCCCTGTTCCAGTATTTGAGAACACTCATTGTGAAAAAAATTTCCCAATATCTCACTGGAATTTCCCTTCTTCCAGCTTGCGCCCATTGCCTCTCGTCCTTTCACTTTCCACCTAATGCTACCAAAGGCTGCATGTACATCTTGGTTTTGGTCAGAATGTCCTCTCTGGGTGGTGGTGGTTTTTCAGACTCTTGGTGTAGCTATGGCCATTCATTTCTTTTGTGTGAGGCCAAACTGTTATGACCTCAGAGACAAATAAAGATGCTACTTCTGTTTGCAAGGGCTGGAGCCTCAGGACAACATTTGCTTGACTGTGTCCTACTAGGCAGGTTCTTACTTGGTAGTGCAGGTTATTTTGTGATAAGGACCTTGAGGACCTCCATATAGAGTGGGTGTTTTGAGGGTGGATGCCTCAAAATGTTTCTGGAATCAAATACTGCTGAGCCAATTCGCTAAGTCCTTGCAAGGGCAGACAAGGCAAAGCATGTCTTACCCCTGGACTCTTTGTGGTCCTTTGATTTGCTGAGAGAGCGATGACAAGTGTAATTGAAAGCCCAGGAGATCTGGCTGTGGTTGGGGTGAGCTGGGAGTGGGTTCGAGGAGCTCTCTTGCTGCTGCCGTTTCAGTGCACAAACTTGCTGTTATCGGAGCGGATCGTTTCCTGTCCTGTCCTGTTTGCTGTGGGTTTGTGTGTCGGGCTCTGCACCAGGTTTCCCAGCTCCTCTGATTACTTTTCTTTCCGTTTTTTCCCTGTCATTGGGCAGTGGGGACTCCGCAGGCAGAGGACAGCTGACTTCTCTTGGACTGCCTCACATGATCTGGGCATGTTGGACTCTCCTCTTTGGAAGGGGAGGAGAGTTCCTCTCCCTCTCCTTTGGAAAACGCCCTCTCCAGGATGCTCCAGTAGGAGCTGGTGGGAGGGAGGGAGTTCTGACTGCACCGAAAATGTCATGAGAGGGAAAAAAAAAAAAAGGCAACTGACAGAAGAGAGAACTTGTCCTCAGATTCCTGCTCTTTGCAGCAGCGTAAACTAAGTCTCTGCAAGTGCTGCGGGAGCTGGCAGGAGGCAGAGATGAAGTTCAGAGGCGCGGTAAGATTTATTCAGCTGTTTTGGTGGTTTTGTAGCTTTCAGATGTGGATCTGCTCTGAGAAGGGAGAGAAATTTTCAAGGTTTCAGCAGAAAAGGGAAAGGCTTCAGCCTGCTTTGCAAAAAATGCCTTAATTGGAAAGTGATGTGGAAGGGGTTGAAATAGGATTAAAAAAAAAAACCCCAGGAGATGGGTGTTTGGAGGAGCAAGGCAAGGTGGGAGTTGGGAAAGTGGGAAGAAAGGGGGAAAGCTGCGCTCTACTCTTCCTTGGGGGAGAAGAAAGGGTGGAGCTTTTGCTTGGGTGGAAGAGGCATGAGGATGTGAACGTAGGGGACTAGTGCTGAGCTCTGCTTGTGTCCTTCCCAGGGACATGGACTTCTTTCCCTGTGACTACCGCCCTGGGGAACAGCAGGAAATACCTGCTTAAGGACTCATTGCCGCTCAGTTCCTCCAGGGTGTATTTACTTTTAGCAAAACTTTGTCCACGTTTTAGTGGCAGCCAGAAAACCTGGGTGTGCATACTGCATTGCAGGACAACCACCAGGAGCTTAGAAAAATGAGTATGTGGCAAAAGATTAAGAAGACTAGGACTGTTACCTGTAAAAAGAGATTAGTAAGAGAGGAGGAAAAAAACCCCCAAACAATAGTGCCACAGAGAAGGCAGATTGTGAGCTCCCTTTTTCTGTGTTGTAACATAGGAAGAATAACAATCAGGTTAAAAGTTGTCAAAGAAATGCAAAGATTATTTTCATACAATGCATAATTGGGCCATGGAATTCAGTGACACTGGAAGATGTTGAGGTCAAGAATGAGGGAGCATTACAAAAAAAAAGGGTGTATGTGGGCTTTTGTCTGGGTAAGAACATTCAAGGCTTTAATTGGTAAACGTACCCAATTTAGGAAGAGAAGGATTGAAAATGTCACGTCTGTAGATGTAAACGTTCTGACTGTTGAAGAGTTAGCACAGGGCAGGAGTGTCCCATACCTGCTCAATCTAGAGATCCTTGTGTGTTTTCCCCAACAGCCTAGTGATGACCAATGTCTTGAGAAATGGTCTTCGTGATGAAGGGAAACATAGAGCTTCTGGAGGACCTGCCTAGTTCCTCCCTGTGGCAATGCATTTGGAGGTGGAGATGATAGCACTGGAGAGGCTTGTGCTTGGATTTCTGTTGGCATGTAGGACTGTAGGAGCCAGCAACCCTCTGTATGGCAGTGGATATAGAGAAAGGGGTTTGGATGTGTTACGTGAGTGTGGTAAACAGAGATGTTGTCTAGGGTGGTGCTTGATATTCTCCGAGAGAAGATGTGGGTGTGGAAGTGCCCTTCGTGTGCCCTGGGAATGCACTGGAGTGCTTGTTCTGTTTGGAAAGTTTTACTGTCTTGGAAAAACATAATGGTCTGAAATGGTTGTGTGGGGTGTGTGGAATCCCGTGGAGAAGGTGGGAATGTCTGGTGTGGGGAGGGGCAGAGTGCTGCAAGAGTAACAGCATGGGGTGTAGTATTGCCAGTAAGAGAGACAAAAGGATGTGAGCGGTTTGAGGGGAATACAGCAGTTAGCAAAAAGCAGTGAATAAGGACGTGGGGTTGTCACCCCATTGCTGCAAGCTGGGAGGTGTGGGGAGCAAGTGCACACTGTCATTCTCATCTATAGGGAGGTGCTGGGATTTCTGCTCCCCTCTCACCTGCTCAGTCTGACCTGGAACTCAATGCTAAAACTGACTTGAAAGGGCAGTGATCTGAGTTTTTGCTTTTTATGCCATCTGTTTGTCTTCTGAAGCTGCTGTGGGATGCACAGGCCTGTGACCAGAGGTCCCAGGTAGTACTGCTGTGTGTGCTGTGATCAGCAACATCTTCTAACTAGCAACAGCTTGTGTCATCTGCACAGGAGCAAAAATGTCAGCTCTCTAAATATAGAAATTCAGCCTATTTACTTTTCCAGCTTTGGTGATCTTTCTGGTTTGCCTGGTTCATTTTTCTTACTGCTATTTTATATTTAGCTTGTTGATCAAAATATCAGCATCCCCTCTTAGGGGTAAACATTTTTCCTCTTCCTCAAATCAGATCTTATAACTACCTTTCTCTTTTCACTACTAATTGCTTCTCTTTTTTCCCAACTTACTTCCACCCCCCCAAAAAAAATTAAAATCTAGAAAATATTTTATGAACATAGAAGAAGTGATACTGCCTCTTGCCATGCAAATCTCCCTGTCTTTCTGGTCCATCATAATTTGCATTTCTAATTTACAGTTGACCTCCTTAGATAGGTTCGTAGTATTCTAAACGTTGCAAATGTCAAATGTCATCAGTTAATATATTAAGAGTCATAATTAGTTGCAGCAACATCTGCACCCTGCATTATTGTTTTTCAAAAGATTAAATTTTGGCTTTCACAGTTCAAACTCCCCATGACCTGCATGCATTTGATACTTAAAGTAATGCACACAATGATACATTACTCACATTTCCCATTCTGCTTTGCATTTTAGGGTGGGAGATTAAATGGTGCTGTAGCTTGGAAAGTGAGGGAGGCAGAACTTCAACTTCTAGGCAATTTGCTAGTGGGGATGGGACAATTCTTTGTGAGAGCAAAATGAGCTTGCTTCCCCTATATTTCCATTTATTTTATGTTTTAATGTATACCAGTTTGTCCCTGCTTGAAATATGGAAGACTTCAAATAAATAGTTTACAATAATTAATCAAGGAAGTAGCATTTCTCTCTCTTTAATATAATTTTTTGAGTAGTGTATTCTGTAGTTAAATCCTTCCAACATGTGGTGTAGGATTGGGAGGGAAGTATCAGAGAGGGAGCAGCAGGTTCTGAGTATGGGCAAGTGCTCCCTGGCTCCAGACATTCCTTTGTTGGAGATGTATTGCTCTAAAAGAAGCAAGAATAAAAAAATGATTCTGCTATAAATGGCTCTTGAGTGGCAACTGCTGACATTGTAACTTTTTTTGCAAGTTGAAGTTGTTCCCTTTAACTCTACTGGTCTGTGTCATCAGAGTTGTTATCTGGTTTTGATGCCATTGGATCTGACAGCTCTGATTTTTTTCAAGTTGTCTGCTCAGAGCAGCTTATGAGCTTGTGGGAAATAACTTAATTTGGCTTAATATAATTAAAAGTAAAATCAAACATTTACTTTTGTTATTTCTTTTTAACTAAACAAGACAAATACTTGGGATTTGTGTCATATAAATTATTGTCTGAGCTCAGGTGGCCTCAGAAGGAGCAGACAAATCCATGTGGTTGGTTGCAGAGGATTTTTGTGACACGCGGAGCTGCCTCTAAGGGAACCTTCTTTCCAACCCAGCTGTTGACTAGCAGAGAGATCCATGTCCAAAATGTGCAGCTAATTTTCTGTGTGGCAAGAGGGAGGAGGATCCTAAGTGGCTGCACTTGAATCTGTCAGAGATTCGCTGGCAAGAGGCAAGTACTTGACTAAGATCCCTTGATTCAGGTCCACCTCAGTTGTTTTCATTCTTGCTTTCTCCGTGTCGAAGGGAAGAGGAGCTATCCCGTTCTGCACCTCAGGAATTGAGGCCCTGGATAGAACAGTTGATTTTTGTCGGCTCTGCTGTCTAGCCCATGCCGTGTCCAAACCCTTTCTCAGGCTGGCAAGTGGAGTAGAAATCAGAGGAATTTATTTTTTTCCTTCCTGCAGCTTTGGCATGACAGTGAAGAATGTCATACTGTCCAAGAGACAAATGTGTTTTAACTGTCACCTCCCCACAAGAAGTTCGTTCTTGGTTCAGACTTCTTATTGTCTTGCAGAATCTAATCTGAATTTCCCTTCCTACTCACATTTGGTTCTTGCCTGTTCTTCCGTTCCCGGTTTTGTAGCTATTTCTGGAACCCGCAGATCAATCATCTTTCACTTGATACTGAGATAAAGATGCCTTGCCTGCCTCTTTCCATACACACCTGCTTCCTGCAGGCATTGTAGTGCACATCTCCTGGTCTACTGAATGGACACTGGCTGATTTGTAAAAATGCATTGTCAGAGGAAAATATTAAAACATTTTGGATGTAGAAGCAGAAATCTGATTTACATTGTGTGACTTTTCTTTCTGAATCAGATGATTATAAAGCTTCCCTGCTCCATATGACCCCATTCACTTTGAAACCTCCAGGTGCTTTCATGTGCATCACTCATGGATGCTCCAAGAAGGAGTTGCCTGAGCTGCCAGGTGCTGCCTGTTCTCTCAGCAGTCAGCAGCACTTGTGTGTCTGGAATTGCTGTGCCAACACTGACCACTCAGGTACCCCTCTGGGAAAAACAAAGTTGGGAAATTCTGGTGTAAAAACTCCTTCCTGCTACACTCGTGTTGGGCTACTGGGTATTGCATGGCCATAGACCAGCTGATGGACAATCAGTGGCTGGTGTTTCTTTCTCAGTTCACATTAGCCCTGAACTCCTGTGCTCGTGCCAAAGTTGCCTTCCATCTTCCATCACAAAAGAAAATTTCCCTGATGTGCTCAGGGCGACTGAGTGACTCAAGTACTTTGAATTTTGTTGTACAGAGCAAAAGTTCTTGGTTTTCATTTTTGAGTTGTATCAGATCTCCAAGTCCTATGCAGAGGAAAGTCTTTCTCATACTTCGACATTTAGCATTGTTTAAAAGAAAAATATTTGTTTACACCTTCACAAGAACATATCAGAGACTTGACTAGTTCAGTTGAGGAAGCTCTTTGCTATAGTCTTGAGTGCTTTTGTACTCCCAGGAGCTATTTGTGAAGGGTATTTTCTGGTCTTGTTGACTGTTGCATGAATACAAAGAAAGGCTGGAACCTCAGCCAACGTAAACCTGGCTCTGCAAGCTGCATTCAGCAGCACCAGTTTACACCAGTTGAAAGTCTTTCCCAAAATTTAATCACACGGAAGAAAAAGGCATGTGGAAGTAGTACCTCCTGGGTAATTGCACTGGCTTGGTCCCACCATTCAGGAGTGACGGCTTTTCCTTTCCTGGCAGTGAGCCACTGTTGTGCTGACGGCTCTGGAGAAGAGATTAAAAGCAAAGAGTGGGTTAAAATAGTGTGGGAATGAGTCCCTTGGGACTGGTACCTGAGGGTGGGTTTGAGAAACGCAGTGGCAAAAGTCAGCTTGTGCTCTCTCGAGCAGGAGTGACCATTAGGACAGAGATCTTGGTACGGAATGAAAGGCAGGTTTGGGAGAGAAGGCACAGGCACCCCTAAGCCCACAGGCACCAAGATCAGATGGAGATTGCTCAGATTTTTGTAATTCCCTGTCTGCAGCCTGTGCTGGATGTGGCATTAGGATGGTCCATCCTACAAGGGCTGGGTTCCTTAGCCTGGTCCTCCTTTTGATTCCTGTTGGCAGGGTCAAGTCACACATGAGGAGCTGACCTAACCACCTGGTACTGCCAGGTGGGCACCCGTGCTCCCTTTCTCCTTGCCTCGGGTCTGACACTCACCTGATCCCATGGGAGGATGATTCAGCTCACTGTGGTGATGGAAAACCACCAGCTGCTTTTTTCTTGGTCCTTGTTTTGCTGCCTTAGTGAGTTGCAGTTCAGCTTAAGCGACAGGTAATCGCTTGTGTTAACACATGCCAGGGAGCCAAAGTGTGTTGGGGGATGTGTTTGGTTTGGTGGTGGTGAGCCATTAGGCTGCACCTAATGCATCTTTTAGGTGGTAGTTTTATAAACGTTTGAAAACAGCAGGAACTGGCCCTGCTGCTGAAATACCTGCTCCTGCCCATCTCTGCAGCGGTTCCCACTCTTGTGCCACCGTATCTGTCAGCCAGTGCGAGTGATTATGTGTGGAACCAGTGTGGGAAAATGACCTGGATTCAAATAATTTTTAAAAATCTGAGTTAGTTTTAATCTACATCAGATTTCCAGTCTAGATTATTGCACAAGTACTAGAGCCAGCGCAAGCCAAAGGGTGCAGCTGCACAGAGGGCACGTGGGACGGTCCTTTTGCCCCTGTTCTCGCTGCCTGAACGGCTCCTCTACCCCTGTGCTCTCATAGCAGCTTCAAGGAAAACTGATCTTCACAAGGAAGGGTCTAATGAGACCCTTACAGCCCTTATTCTCCTAATTAGCTGGATACATTCTCCCTGCCACAGGGCTTTCAGAGTTGTCCAAGCTGATCTCTTGCACAGCACAGAGCAGAGGATGTTGTAAATGAACTGTACGTCAGCCGGGGGCGTTTTGGCAGAGGGAAATCTATCCACCGCAGAGACACCAAGGGAGCCCGTCCTGTCCATGGGCAAACTGCTTTAATGGTTAATTAACTCCACTGTAACATATTTAACCCCCCAGACTGAGTTTTCTGGCATTAATTTACAGCCGCCAGATTTGCTGTCTGCCTGCTAACATAAAACAATTAACATTTTAATTATTTAAATTTATTCAGTGCCTCACTGTCACACTCATCATTCAGTAGGAACATATGGTCATCACTGGGATTACTTTTTCTAGATAGTGTCTTCTTTCTCCACTCTCTTCCTTCTGCATTACTCTTCTGTTTTCATTATGCAAAAAGGATTTATTTTCACTTCCTTTTACGCTGCATCTGTGGAAGTTCTTGGCGGTGAAATAGTTAAAGTTGACATTTTTTTAAGTTGGTGGTAGACTTGGACATAAGCAATAAAGCAAATGAGGCAGCGCTGGCACAGAGAAGCGCGTGTTGCTGAGCTGTGGTTTATGACTGACATTTATATTTGCACTGAGCTTAGGCTTGGGAGGGTACAGTGCTGTGATTAAAGTTTATATTTCGGAGAATCTGGCTGTATCAGATTAACTAGGTAACCTGGTCACATTTAATTCTTACTGACAAGTTGCATTTAGGTGGGTTTTTTTTTTTTAAAACTGACTGAAAATTTCAGGTTGTTATTTTGTTCTCACAGAGAGAGGTTGGAGTTGAATGAGAAGAAAAAAAAACCACGGAGGAAACTGAAAGCTGCTTAACCTTAAATGCCTCTGTCCCAGAGGAGGCGGCCGAAGTGCAATTTTCTATGTTCTAAGGAGGATGGATTGCTTCTTCCTTAGGCTGGATGTGTACAGCTGGGATCAGTTTGTCCTGAGCTGGAAGGAGTGGCTGATGAAAGAGCTGCTGAAACTGCTAAGTGACGTTTTCTGTGAAAGTCTTTAGGATTATATAAACTTGGATTAACTGTGCGAGGGTGGAAGTTTCTCCTCAGTCATTTTTGAGGCAGCTGTGTTTTAAAACTGTATTCATAAACTTACCCACTTGAAAACTAGTTATTTTCTTTTGGTTTTCTCTTTGTTCCCATTACCTTGTCCAAAAGCTGCTCCAGGGTTGCACTGCTCTGATAGAAATATTCTAATTTCTAGGCAGAGTTTATTTCTATGTGATTTATCCCTATTTCTTTTGCAAGTGTTGTCCTTTATCCCATCACCTTCCTTCTCCAGGGCTTATCCCTTTCCTCTTCACCTTGGCAAAGAGGGTAGAAGAAGCCAACAAAACACTTTAAAAGTGTGGAGGAATTGACTTGGAAAGTTTTGAAGATTTTAAAAAGATTACTTATGACAGTATCTGCAGAATTCCTCCCAACCTGAATCTTTTAAAGCTTAGAGATCAGGCTTCCCAGGCCGTGAGAATGATTTGGGGGAGAAGAAGAAAAAAAAAAGGGGGGGGGGGAATTAAAATTATTTTAATTTGTGGTGTTTGAGACATCAAAATGGATCTGGATTTGGGATTTCCTAGTAGCAAATTGTAGGAACTAATTTTCCTTTCTGAAAGCTGCTGGTTTCATGCAATCACTTATGCCCAGGCACTGGGCTTTTGGGAAGGAAGCCAATTATAACCTGCAGAAATAGGCAAAACTACATTGGTAAATGATTGGTGAGTCTAAAGAAATGCAGACTGAGGGAATTTGCACCCGTTTGGGTCCAGATTTCTATGCCAGTGGGTCTTGCCTTTATTACTACTTAACAAAAGGTAAATTTTCTTTTTGACCAAGGTTGTTTTTATTCTTTTTTTTTTTCCCCTGGGTGCCATCAGTCCCCGTGTTCTGACCACTATTATATCTTGAGAAGGAGCAGAAAGGAACTACCTGGCAACGTGAGTCAGCAAAAATCATCTCCGTCATCGTGCAGGGTTTTGGGGCTCCGGCATTCCCGGTTTGTTCCACTAACACAGGAGAGGGTGCCTGGGTGTTGCTGTTACTGCGTGAGCCCGTTTAGGAACAAGCTCCGGTGGTGTTTGTGCCAGTGATGGCAACATCCCAGAATACAACAACAGGTTCTCTGAAATGCATTAGGAAAGTGGCTTAGGAGAAGGGTGCTTGCTGTGAGGAGTTTGCAAAGTAAGGAGGATTTAAGAAAATGGGAAGGAATTGCAGACAGATGTGAGGCAAATGGTTTCCTACATTCTATCTCCTGTCTCTGATTTCTGCACTCTCTCGTCTTCTGTGCCTCATACGTCGTCTGTCTGTCGGGTTTAATTGCCTTTAGTAGAAGTTTTCCCTGCGAATAGTGACTGAGTCACTTGGTGCACATTTCCTCTCCCTGTTTTAGTACGTGAGGTTGAGTGAAGTAAGAAATCAGCAGACCTGTGTTTTCCAAAGATGGTTGTGTCTGAGCCACGACACATTGAAATGTAACCTTGAAAAGAGCATCAGGGAATAGAATTTGTTTGATGCATGGCATAGATGTTATTGTCACAGAAAACTCGGTGTGGCATGGGATGCAGAAATGCCCATTTCTCATTAGTTCTGAATTTTCCCATTGGGTGTCTTGCTAAAGCTTTTAAATTGGTCAGCAGTGTTGAAGCTGTTTGCTCATGAGATGAATCATCATTAGTCATAAAAGATTCCTTACCTCGAAACGACTTCCTGTTATGAAATGACAAGAGAAAAGTAGAGAGCACACATTTCAGTCTCAGCCCCCCTAAAGGGTGCCTGGGAAAGGAAATGCTGGTTTTATTCTCTTTATGAAACACATGTTTGTTTGATTGATTCCTTTAAAGTGATTGGAAATTCAGCAATAATTTTTCCCTAATGCTGGCTTGTCTTCCATCAAAGCAATTAGTATAAACCACCTGATAAAGTGTTAGTATACATTGACTATTGCTCTCAACAGTAGTGGGTTGTTTTAATTGCCTCTCCTGTTTATAGGTTGTCCATGGGAAATTGTGGTTAATGGTTCTTGTGGACTCGGTGAGCTGAATGCAAAACCACAGATATCCCAACCTTCCTCTGTTTTTGGTTGCAGGGAGCGGGGACTAACGGTATTCGGTTAACCATGGAGAGCGCTCTGACGGCCCGTGACCGTGTCGGGGTGCAGGACTTTGTCCTGCTTGAGAACTTCACCAGTGAAGCAGCATTTATTGAAAATCTACGTAAGCGCTTCAAGGAGAATCTGATCTACGTGAGTAGCAGAGTGACAGACACCAAAGTGTTCATCAGTGACCTGAATTTGGGTGTTTGCTACCAAAGACTTACCATAGCTTTGCGCTGCAGTTGGATTTGGAGATGGGGGTATTAACTTTAATAGACCATGGTTGGTTGTGTCAGAACTAGTCTGGGATACTGTCATGTTAGCAGATGTAGGTACTTGCTGCAATGGTCCAGTTGAGGTCTGCTGGCCTTTACAGGTCTTGCCAGCACTGAAAATTCAACTCACACCACATTCTTCCATTTCATCAATTCACTCTGTGCTGGGCTTTCAGCAACCCCAGGCTTGAACTTGATCCTAAATGGTAGATCAGGAATAATCCAGTATTCTTGCTTGTTAGAAGCACTAAAACCATTTGCAGGTGCTGTTTATCCACCAAGGATGACATGTCTAACCTGACTCCCATAATGTCATCCTCACTGCACTGCGAGGTCACTCCTGCAGCACCCTTGGCCTCTTTGGAAGCCCTCAGCAGCATCCCCAGTACACCAGGGCAGGGAGCCCTTGCCAACAGCACACAGCCTTCAGAGCAGTCTGGGCTCTCAGGGAATCTGCTGCCAGACCTTCTGTAACCTCTCTGCTTTGTGTTCTCTTTTTCAGACATACATAGGCTCGGTTCTGGTGTCTGTTAATCCGTACAAGGAACTGGAAATCTACAGTAAACAGAACATGGAGCGATACCGTGGTGTCAGCTTCTATGAAGTTTCTCCTCACCTGTGAGTGGCCTGTGGGTAAACAGCGCGGTTTGTGCTGTTCCCACGCAGGCGTGTGCAGTAATGACATGTGAAAACAAACAAATCAGACTTTTCCTTGTCCCAGATCACAGAATCACAGAATGTTGGGGATTGGAAGGGACCTCAAAAGATCATCCAGTCCAGTCCCCCTGCCAGAGCAGGAACCTAAATGAGATCACACAGGAAGGCGTCCAGGCGGGTCTTGAATGTCTCCAGAGAAGGAGATTCCACAACCTCCCTGGGCAGCCTGTCCCTGATGCAGCACTAAAAATCGTGGGGATATAAAGGATCCTTCGGAGGGTGCGGTGTACGGCTCTTTCTATTCCTGTTTCTCTCTCCAAAGAGGATGAGTTGCCTTTGCAAGAGCAGTATTTGGAAAGGGAGTTGGTTCCTTCCTGGCTGGAGGAACAGCAGTGCTTACCCAGCCCTGGCAGGACAGGAGTTCATTGTTCCAGGGTTACTTGGGGTCTGCGTGTCCGGGCTGTGAGTTTCCCCTGCTGCTCCATCGTTCGTTCAGCGTAGGGCTAACGAGGGGAAATAGTGTGTCTGTACGTGTGGAGGTTTCTTTCCTTCCTCTGCTGTTACTCCCTGACCAATATTTATCTGGTATTTCCCTTGTTGCTAAGATACCGTCAGCCTGTTGGAACAAGGAATGTATTTATTTACATGGTCTGGCCTGCTGAGCATTCCCAATTTCCCATTTTAAAAAAAAAAAAAAAGTTTGAGGTTTAAAGTTATTTTTAAAAGCATTTGAATTTTTTTATCAGACTGAAAGAGAAAGATGAGAACATTTGGCTCCAAAATGTTTTCTTGCATGACCAAGGGCCAAATTCTGAGCACCTCTTGGAGGTTTTTTTGTCCTTTTTTTTTTTAAAAAAAAAAAAGAGGTCTTGGAAGAGTAAATGATATTATTTTTGAGCAAACTATTTGGATTGTTTCTTATTACTGGCACATAGCCCAGGAGAGTAAGAAAAGCAGAATGTGCTGCAAGCACAGAGAGGAGAAACACCATTACTTGTGAAAGTCTGAACACTTTTAAGTTGTATTTATTATGATAAAAACGTGGTTTTTATAGTCTTTCAGGCTTTTTGTGTGGATTTATATGAGGGATGATTAAACCTGAAAAACCCTGCACTGAAGCCTGCCAAGTTCTCCCCTTGATCTAGGTGTGTCAGTATATCGTCTCTATATGCAGGTGCCCCAGCTGAAAGATGTGTGGTCAGGGCGCTCTTAAAGCCTCTTTGTCCTTAGACGAGAGTTGTATTTGCCTTTTTATTGGGGTGCAGCAGGTACAGGACTGAGCGTGATGACAGTGCTCACATCCAACACCAAGTGCTGAACAGATTCGCTTTAGTTCCTGTACATGCTACACAAAGTGACTGAAATCACAGAGTAGCTGATTATTTCTCAGACTGTTCTCTTTGGTTTTTTTAACTGGTCCCATAAGAAACTGTAAAGTGTAGCTCGTTACAGTGTGCACCCCTGGGAGCTGTGTGCTGAGTACCAGTGCTGCTCCAACTGGGAAAACAGTAGTTTTGTTAAATGTTTTTATCATTCCATTTTAAAAAATACAACATTTTATTATTTATGCATTTAAAAATATTCTGAGGAGCACTGAAATGCTCTGTTGTCACTCTGTGCTTCTCCTTTTACAGTATTTCAAGTGTCTTTTTTCCTCTTTCTCTTATTCTAAACTGATTCTAGAAAGCCAAAACACTTCAATGTTGCTGTTCCAGTGTCATAATAGTTTAAGGCTCAGCCTGAGCTCTGGGCTCTCTGGGAAGTGTGACACACATCATTCAAAGGAGAAAAGTTATCCCTGTGGGCTTGGAACACAGCACGCTTCCCAGAAGGATCTGTTGCATCCTGTCCTATTTATAGCCTGCCAGGGGTTCAGAGATGACTGCAAATGGGACCATAAACATCTTTAAGTGAAGTGATTCTGTATGTGGTGTGCACCACTGCGAGCTTGCTGCTTGAACTTACAGAGCCATAAAACCACCCAGTAGAGGCACGCGGTCTAGAGGCAGTTCTTAAAATTTAAATTAAATTTACATTTATTCAACTGTTTCCAAAATACTCCAGAGACAGAATTTGGATGGGAAGAGAAGGACTTGATGACTTTAGTGGGGTAAGCGTGCAGTTGTGTTGCTAGCTAGCTCATTGGTGTTGCCTTAGCACCAAGTATTAATAGACTGGAGAAGGCCATGGCTGTTATTTTGGTGTGATTATTTCTAATTAATTTCACAGCATGAGAGTTTATAAAAAAAGCAAAGCTACTAAAAGGTTGTTGAGTGTATGAAGAGAGGATATCTGCTTGATCACCACATGTAAGACAGCTGAAAATATTGTTGTGGAGGCCTTCTTATTGATTGCATTTTGAAGGGCTAATGCTCCTCTTTTCTCTTCTCCTCTTCCATTGCACCTGGTCCTTTCTCCTCTCTCCCTCTGTAAGCAGTTGCCACCATTCTCAGACTCATCCTCCTGCTCTCTGGTGTTGTAAAAGTGTGTGTAATTCTTGGTGTAAGATCCTGGCTGGTCTGTTGTGGGGAGGAAAAGAGAAGAGAAAGAAAAAGCAGCAAAGGAAGAAGCAGGGCTCCAGGGCCAGCAGCACTAAACCCCAGCTGTACACAGGCAGGAGGAATGTCTGGGCCGTGTTTGTCCTAAGCTGGATGGTGGCTTACGTAGCCTGCAGGATCCTTATTAGTCTGTGCTGGCTTATCCAATCCTTCCTACAATGCAGGAGAAGCTGCGAGGGGTTGGGAGGCTATTCAGGAGCCACATTATAGGAGCCACCCAGATAGTAAAGTGTAGTTGTGACCTTCTGAGTGTCATCACTTAAAGGACAGCCTGGAATAAAGATCTGTGGAAAACAAGATGTTTTCTGAATGCAGAGCTTTTTTGTCCTGCGGGACTGGTATTGAGAGATCTCATATATTTAGAAAAGTAAAGTTATCTTCACTGTTTAGTCTTCTACAGAAACTCTTCTCATCAGAGAGAGTCAAAAGAATAGTTTTTAAAGGAATTTGATAGATTGGTGCTGTCACCATGCAGAAGCTTGGCTCAGTGGTTAAGATGTGTATAGAGATGTCTGCAATCTCCTGTGTCATCACCAGCATGCAGAATCAATCTACTCTTCCCCAGCCCATGGACACACACTTCTTTTTGAGGTGTCCCTGCTGGGAGCTCACACTGTGGGACAGTCTTAGCTGAGGAGTCTCTGCCCTTTGCTTGTGGATAAACAAACTAACGCCTGGCTATCCTTGTCCCTTAGCTACGCCATCGCAGACAATTCCTATCGCTCCCTGCGCACGGAGAGGAAGGATCAGTGTATCCTGATCTCCGGGGAGAGCGGGGCTGGCAAAACAGAGGCCACCAAGAAGATCCTGCAGTACTACGCCGTGACCTGTCCCGCCAGTCAGCAGGTCGAAACCGTGAAGGACCGTCTGTTACAATCCAATCCCGTCCTGGAGGTAACTCTAGAGCCTGCAGCAGGGAAACTTGACATGGAGTCATACCAGCACACTCAGATTTTCCAGCTGAGGGGGTGGGGGCAGCTGGACCCCACCGGGCATGACTGAGCTGTCTGTGCGGAGCAGATAGCGTATCCTGGGAACGCTGCTTCACGGCGTGTGGGCAGATGGTTTGCACTGCACACAGGGGAATCCCACTCTGCTTCCAAGCCAGAGAAATGGCCGTCTGCTGCTGAGCTCACTTGGCCCTTTCCAGTCCACCAGGAGCAGTTCTGGAGTGACCAGGCTGCGGGGAGAGAAAGGCATTTAGCGTGGGAAGAGCTCTGGTGAGCTGCAGAGAGCCAGAAGCAGACACATCTGCTGTGGGCAGTGTTGCCCCCTGATAAATGCATTTGTGGGTGCATTTTCTAGAGCTGTGGTGTCCTCTAGTGTCCAGTCCTGAGCTGTCTCTGCAGTTCCCTTTGATAGCTCTGCTCTGTACGCAGATGTGCGGTGTGCAGGGAAAGGTGTGCTCCCCAGGAGAGGGGAAAGCCTGGCAGGCCTCCTCCGTCTGTTGGGGTAGTGCCTGCTGTGAGCAGAGCTGTGGGTGACCATAAGCAAATAGCTGTGATGAAAGAGGAGGCTTTGAACAGACTGTCAGATATGACATGTGTTGTCAGCAGTGAACTGGCATTAAAATCAGTTTGCTAGGAGGGTGGAATTGTTTTCAGAGGCATGTTCCATCTGCAGGGCTTGCACTGGGTGTAAAGATCAGCACTAGAATTTGGGCAGCAATCTCCTACCTTCTTGGTTTCCCTTGCAGAAGGGACACACCTAGGCTTTGATGGCTGGAAATAAACAACTGGCAGCTTCACTCAAGTGTTTATAAATAATCTTATTTGATACTTACTTATTTTTCTCTAATTGTTTTCATTTCAGGCCTTTGGAAATGCAAAAACCCTTCGGAATGACAACTCCAGCCGGTTTGGGAAATATATGGATGTGCAGTTTGATTACAGGGTAACTTAAAATCAAGTTTATACTTCAGAACTGGTCCCAGTCATAGCAAGTCTCCGTTGCCTGTGCTTTCTTGTAGTGATGTGTGCATGGAGAGATGGTTGTGCATTCTCTTGGTGACAGTGTGAGCAGAGTCTGTGGTACCAAAGCTTGGTTACAGAGGATTTTATAGACCACGCTTCCCTCTCTTTCTTACCTCATGTCTTTATATAAGGAGACAGTGAGATTAAATCCTATTTCTAGGGTATGTGTGCACCCTGCAAACGGATACTCCCAAACTAAATCCACATAAGCCAGCTGTGATCTGAAGATAATCTCTGTCCTGTGAAACTCTGCATAGTGTTTGTTTCGATTCTGATCCAGATTGCCCCACACTATGAAGATGGACAAGTGCAAGAACCCAGTACCTCGGCACACGTCTTTTGAACATCTCAATATGTAATCCCTCCACCCTCGCAGTTTTGTTGCTTTTCCTTTGTGTTGGATTCCTTTGGAGAAGGAATTTTACACAAGATCCCATTCAGTATGTGCTGTGCCCTAATCTGTATAATGGCACCTTATTGTCACTTGTTAGTTCCTTTTGCATACACTCCAGAACTCAAATTGACACTGTTTTAGCTGAAATAGAGATTGTGATACAAAATGACAGATAATTTTCTGTCTTTTGTAGGCTATCATTTTGTATCCTGTTTGTCTTTGAATAGACCACCACGAAGCAGAAACATTTTCCTCTATTTTGCTGAACTATTTCAATGTATCTGCTCTGATTTAGGGGGCTCCTGTCGGGGGCCACATCTTGAACTACCTCCTGGAGAAATCCCGAGTTGTGCACCAGAATCACGGAGAGAGGAACTTCCACATTTTCTACCAGCTGCTAGAAGGAGGGGAAGAGGACTTACTGCGAAGGCTGGGCCTCGAGAAGAACCCACAGCAGTATCACTATTTAGTAAAGGTGTGCATTCACTAGTCATTTTTATAATATTGTTATATTATAGGATCAATATATTCTCAGTTGACTTTGTAGTTTCCTTCTCTTACTTAAAAAAAATCGCACTGAGGTGACTGCAATGAAAACAAACACGACAGAAGTGCATTGAGCATGAGTTAAGGGATCTTTGACAATTATTTACTTATTTATACCAAGCTGTGTCTTTTTAGGGTCACTGTGCAAGGGTCAGTTCCATAAATGATAAAAACGATTGGAAGATCGTGCGAAGGGCACTGTCCGTTATAAGCTTCAATGACAACGAGGTGGAGGTAAGACACGTTGAACAGCACAGCTGATTTTCCCACTCTTACGGAATTTTTCTGCTTTGATTTGTTATTTCTGACCCAAGACAGCTTTCAGAATGAATGTATGCTCTGCAAAAATCCTGAAAAAAACCTACAAACCCTTCTCCTAAAATGTTAATTAACACAGAAATCTCGCTGCCTTTTTTCACTGTGCTCATTTCATCATCCTGGTTTCTGCCTGTTGCTTCCCTCCCAGGATCTGCTGAGCATCGTGGCTAGTGTTCTGCATCTGGGGAACGTGCAGTTCGCTGCTGATGAGCAAGGGAATGCTCAGGTCACTACAGAGAATCAGATTAAATACCTGGCTAGGGTGAGTCTCACCAGTTAGAGAAGTATGACATTAAAGATGAATTCCAGAGGTTTCCTTATTTTAAACTTGGTACCATTGTTGTCATTTTAGAATGTGATTTAGAAGTTTTCATTAATTTACTTTTATTTGACCTAAATAAAATGCAAATATTACCATAAAAACCTTTTAATTGACAATTTCTCTAGTTGCCACTTGATCCACCACTGACTTAAGGTTTTCACCTTCAGGCAGTGGGATAGGAACCGACTGATTCTGGTGAAGAGTTTTAAAGAAAGAACAACCCTTGTGGCTTTGCTTAGTCAGTTCTTTGTGCCAGAACAATCCACCCAATGTATTTGTTAGGTCACATCACTGCCAGAAAGGAGGTGCTGTAGAGGAGGAGAGGGAAGGATTGATGTTGCAAGAAGTCTTGCAGTGTGAATGGGAAAATAAAGGGTTGTTTTACTGGACTGTGATTTTGAGGATTAGCCTTTCTGAACTCTTAAAACTAGCACTAATAAATTTAACGTACTGCTTCATAAATTAATATTCTACTACTTTGCAGCTTCTAGCAGTTGAAGCATCCGTTCTTCGAGATGCACTGATCCACAAGAAGATCATAGCAAAAGGGGAAGAGGTAAGAACATGAACTGGGGATTTGGGAGGCACATGGAATTAAATCAAGCCAGCCCCTACATCAGCAGCTCTTTCCCCAGAACCAAACAGTTCACTTCTCCCCTGCCAAAGGAGGTTCTCAGTGCAGGAGTCCCACAACCTAATGGTGACCTGCAGCCTGTGCAGCTGGGAGACAGTGATGTGATCCCAGACAGGATGCTGTTGAGTGGCTGTTTATTAACAATGAACTAGGGAAACTGAATCCCTGGGTGCAATGGCTGTTGAATGGCTTTTTTCTCCTCCTGCCTGCAGCTAATCAGTCCTCTGAACCTGGAGCAGGCAGCCTACGCGAGGGATGCGCTCGCTAAGGCGATATACGGACGCACTTTCTCCTGGCTGGTGAACAAAGTTAACAAGTCTCTTGCTTACAAGGTAAATGAACCTTTTGTTTGTTGATATCCAATCCAGCATGAAAGGAAATTTCAAATCATTTAGCTGCAAGGTAAAGAAGTGGTGAGTTCCATGCTGTACAGTGATTTCTAAATTAATTTATTTTCCATTAAGAAGAGGGTGAGGAGTAAATGCTGTAACTAAATGGTTAAGATCCAGTGACAGATCGTAGCTGTGAGTATATATCAACATTTACTTCTTGCCCTATTGTAGGAAGGAGAGTTTCCGGGCTGGAGAAGTACAACAGTTCTGGGATTGCTTGATATCTATGGATTTGAGGTTTTCCAGCACAACAGGTTTGTTTCAGTCAGTGTCTTTGAGCTTTGAGTAAACTCTGCATGACTTCATTCGTTACAGTGTTTTCTCTCCATTGTCAAATAAGACTTTATTCTACCTCTGCTTCTCTTAGTAAGAGAGAAAGAGATGTCATTTCAACTTCAGGAAATGAGCTGAGTAACTGATAATCACAGAGCTTCTAACACCTGGGGCATCCGGCTAATCCAGCTGGTGATGTCCTTGGTATTTTAAGGAAACTTCTGCCTTTTTGGGGCGTACTCATGCGATAGCTTGAACTGTGCCTTTGTCCAGTGCTGTGGCACAGTGCTGCCTGTTGTTCTGGCGTCTTTCCACGGTGCTGTGAACAGGCAAACACAGCTATAAAACTGTGTGTGGGGCTGTGTCAGAGTCTGGAGCCTGACTCTGGCTGATAGCGATCAGCTGCGACTCTCCAATTTGCAGTATTATTGGCCCCTTCTTAAAAGTTTCTGTGTTCCTCTGTGTTGAATCCTTCATGTCCATTTTTCCCCCCTCCTGGAACTCTCTCATGAGATTCACTAAAATTACAGTCAGTAAGTAAACATTTCACTAAATCTCTCCTGTTTCTCTTGATTTGCACAGAGATACATGCATGCTGTTGCCCACTGATTATAGCTTCTTTTACTTGTGGTGCAGTGTTAGTGATTGTTTTTCTGATTTTTGTTTGCAGCTTTGAGCAATTTTGTATTAATTATTGTAATGAAAAATTGCAGCAGCTCTTCATAGAGCTCACATTAAAGTCAGAACAAGAGGAATACGAGTCAGAAGGCATAGCGGTAAGAGCCAGTATCATCACTTCCACTGTCTCCTTTGTAGCATCTCCTGCAGGCCAGAGGACAGATTAGGAAAGGAGCTGCTAGGAATGGTCTGCAAAGTAAATGAATTAAAGAATTTTCCTTTTTCTTTTCTTTTTGAAACATTTTGGTAACCCTGTGTGATACAGCTAGAAGTGAGTAATAGCATTCCAGCCTTTTACTCTGATTTTAAAAATGCTTTTTAAAGGGAATGTAAGGAAAACAAATTTGATGACTGAAAAAGCTTTGTTTCAAGTTTGACAGAAAGATTATTTAAATAAGGTGCTGTCTGAAATGTTCTGAAATTTTCATGGGTTTTTTTTACAGTCTAGAATTGTTTTCACCCAAGTGTGATTTCTTGTCTTTGTAGTGGGAACCAGTTCAGTATTTCAATAACAAAATAATTTGTGATTTGGTGGAAGAGAAATTCAAAGGCATCATTTCTATTCTGGTGAGTTGACAACACCTTTTAAAATTAAAAATTAGGGGCAGTGTAGTGGAAAACGAGGGGAAGAACAGGAAGGGGGAGGGGAAGGTCTGAGTTTATATTAGGATTATTTGGGTAGGTGGGAAGAGCTGTGATACACTGAACAGTGACACCATTAAAAGTCATGTTGTGTCACCTCCATCTGCTCTTGGGGAAGAAGCTTCCAGTCCAGGCAGTGTGGAAGGAAGGGAGTTTTCCTTTTCAGCTCCACAGTTCTGTATTTGTTGAACTAGGAGATGCCCTGCCTGTTAAAAGGCCAAAGGGTCAAACTGGGGCAGTGTTTCGGTGAGAGTTAGAGCCGGCCCGCGCGCTGACGGGCACAGCGAGAACCGAGTACTAGACTGCGTGTGTTTGTAGGATGAAGAGTGTCTGAGACCTGGGGATGCCACAGATACAACATTCTTGGAGAAACTGGAGGAAACCGTGAAGAACCACCCTCATTTTCTCACGTGAGTGTTCCCATAGCTCAGGGTAGTTCTGCTGGTAGGATCCAGGTGTGTGACAGAGCCGAGATGATGCTGTTTTCTTTTGTAAAGAGATTAGATTGTGAGTGAAGATAACACAGAATAAGTTGTCAACACTAACAGCCTTGCTCTTTGCAAGACTGTGCTTCAGAATACAACAGGAGCAACAATACTCGTTACTCACTTGCCTCTCCACTGATCTCTTCCTGGCATCCTACTGCTAATACGTGCAAGGAATTTGCAGGCTCACAGCTTCTTGGCTCTTCCAAGATCTGCCCCAATATTTCAGGTGTGACAGACTCTGGTTTAGAGTATTAGGACAGACTGTTGATGACCCAAGTCAGGCCAAGGAATAACTAGAATGTGGAGCAGAATTGTACTGATCAGAACAGCGTTCAGAGGTGTTTGTGCATTAGGATGATTGAAGCAATGCTGGTGCTTTTGAAGTGCAGAGGTTTATACTGCACTGACTCACTGGTTGTGCCCATCTGTTTCCCAGACGACAGTGATGGCCTCCTTCCACTTTGGTAACCTGTCCACATTGCCACCACTCCCGTTCAATGGGTGTGAATTGTGTTTCACTTTTCAGATCATTTACTTCAGTTTTAGAGCTCCAAATATCTTTTTATTCTTACTGCATGTTCTGTGTGGCATCTCGTGAGTATGCCAGCCTGCTGCCAGCATCTTCACTGCCCTCTTGCCTGCTGCCTCTACTCTAATTTCATGTGCACAACCACTCAGCAGCCTTGCCAGGAAGCTGAAAGTTCATCCATTTCAAATACACATAAATACATTTTATGTCATTTTTAGGATTTGCTGGTTGATAACTCTGTATTTCATTTTGGTCTTGAAAATCAGCAAGTCAGACCTACTCTCTGCCTCCCCTCTGTGTTCACATAGTCCCACTCTGGGATCCAATGCCATGGTGCTTTTTGAAGTGAATCCCCCCCCATGAAACAAGTGTTTGTTTCTCGTTAAGTTTCTTTGCTTTCTCACCAGGCACAAGCTCGCTGACCAGAAGACTCGCAAGTCGCTGGGGCGGGAGGAGTTTCGGCTTTTGCACTATGCTGGAGAGGTCACCTACAGCGTTGCAGGTAAGTGTGTGCATCATCTCTGCTGCCTGTCACTCTTTCGTCCTCCTCCTGTCCTCTGCCCTTGGAATTAAAACAGCTTCACTATATAGTAAAGAAAAATCTGGGCTTGGAATACGTCCACACATCATTTGATTAACCAGGTTAATTTCCCATCTCAAATTCCTGCCTTGTTGTGAAGTTCCTGTGGAACAGCAGTGGCAGCCTGAGCGGTTTCTTTTTCTTCCAGGTTTTCTAGATAAAAACAATGACCTTCTCTTTCGGAACCTAAAGGAGGTGAGTGTGGATAGAGGACATTTCCAATATTCAGCAGATTGAGGAGTCGGGTTTAAAACGGGGTGGGTGGCACTTGAGGGATTCTTCTAGGCTCCACCTGGAAAATGTGTGTCCATAGGACTGCACTGCCAAAAGACAAATTGAGGTGCCCAAAGTTCATTTTATTGTTAAAAAGCAAAACAAAAAAAAACCCCAAACAAACAGTTTTGTCCTGTGTTTCTCTGATAATTCTCAGAAGGATGCTCTGTACTTTATCTCTGAAAACGTCTCTCTCTGCAGGCCATGTGCAACTCTGAGAATCCCATCATAAATCAGTGTTTTGACAGGACAGAGCTGACAGACAAGAAGAGACCCGAAACGGTAAGAACACCAGAGCTGGGTGGAAGTGGGACCATTTCCTCTTTTTAAAAGACACGTCCTGTCTGGGATGGCAGTCTGAACGCAAACCTCTTGCATTTAAAGCTGGGAGACAGGTTTGTTCTGCAGTCACAAGTACCAGCTCTAAGTCATCGCTTCAGATGCAGTTTTCTTTCTTTTCTCCTAGGCAGCAACTCAGTTTAAAAACAGCCTCTCCAAACTCATGGAAATTCTGATGTCCAAAGAACCCTCCTACATTCGTTGCATTAAACCCAACGATGCTAAGCAGGCTGGTATGACCCTGGTGACTCTTCCTCTTTAATTTTTTCTGTGACAGCTATATATAGACCACTAGATCCCTGTCAGTGAGGCACAGAAAGGAGCTCAAATGACAAAGTCCTGCAAGACTCTTTCATTTTGGGTCTATGCCAGAGCTTCTTGTAGGCAGTGGCAGTACCAGCAGCCAGGAATCAGAATGGGAGCACTGGTCTTGGGTGGAGTAGGGTTATGTTTAAAGTGAAGAATTACTCACCTACAGAACTTCCTTTTAATGACCTTTAGTCTCCCTTCATTTTTTCCTCCTGTATGTGTAGAACGTCCTAAAGGAAACTTCATTTTGGAACTAAATAAAAAGTTCTATTAAAGGGAGGGGGGAGACAGGAGACACAAAGTTGTGTGGGACGGGCACCGTGGGGATGAGTTAGAGGTTCAAGGTAACTGTGTCAGATATAACCAAGAGCTGAGCATTCCCCTTCTCCAGATGAAGGAACTGCACAGGCTACACGTTAATCGTGTTTCTCTATCTTCATGCTCTCTCAAGATCGATTTGATGAAGTTCTAATCCGACATCAAGTGAAATACTTAGGGCTGATGGAGAACCTCCGAGTGCGCAGAGCTGGGTTTGCGTATCGAAGAAAATATGAAGTTTTCCTGCAGAGGTAGGATTGCCTTGGACTTCTCTCTCCCTGCTGCTCCCTCCCCCAGTCTGTCCCACCACTGTTTGAGGCTGGGGAGCTGTTCTGATCAGCAGAGAGACAGCCCTTACGCCTCAAAGACTTTATTTTCTTGAGGGAGCAAGAAGCACGGCCTCTCTCCCTTCCCACTGCCCTGTATGGACTGAACTTCCCTCCCTCACATTTCCTCTGCTGTCAATTGACAGGTACAAATCACTCTGTCCAGAAACGTGGCCTACCTGGGACGGGCGGCCCCACGACGGGGTGGCTGTGCTGGTGAAGCATCTTGGCTACAAACAGGAAGAATACAAAATGGGACGGTTAGTTCTTCTGTTTTCTTAATTTGAGATTATGAATCATTGAGCATCCATGTCATTGCTTTTAAATAAGGCTTCTCTATCTCACAGGTGAGGAAAAGATTAGAGATCCCAAAGGGGACGGGATGCTAAGGGCAGGAAGCAAACTTCTCCGGCCTGTTAAACATAATTCTGCGTTTCTATTTCTAGAACAAAGATTTTTATCCGTTTTCCCAAGACCTTGTTTGCAACGGAAGATGCTCTGGAAGTGAGGAAGCAGAGTCTGGGTGAGTCACACACCCTGCAGCAGCTTCATGGGCAGTTCCCTGTCTGTTTTCAGATTTTTATTTT